AAAGTTGATTAATTAGATCACTTGCGGTGCTGGGTATGTTAGGCTAAAGTTGATTAATTAGATCACTTGCGGTGCTGGGTATGTTAGGCTAAAGTTGATTAATTAGATCACTTGCGGTACTGGGTATGTTAGGCTAAAGTTGATTAATCAGGTCACTTGCGGTACCTGGTATGTTAGGCTAAAGTTGATTAATTAGATCACTTGCGGTACTGGGTATGTTAGGCTAAAGTTGATTAATCAGGTCACTTGCGGTACTGGGTATGTTATATCAAAGCTAGCTAAGCTTAAAAGTCGAACTTCAGTAAATTTTGTTTATTTGTTTCAAGGAAGGACTTCGGTAAATTTTGTCATCATAAATTTTAGTTAATTATTTTATAATTCACCCATTATTTGTATATTATATATGTGGAGACATGTATGTATATGTGTCTATTTATATCTTTGTGTTCAGTGTTAGTATATTTCGACTTGTACGAGTCCAAATGTTTATCGAAATAGTAAATAAAGCTTTCAAACTCATTCCAAGTAATAATTAAATATAAATTCATTGGTTATCATTTTCGTTACCCGAGTCATTATCAGTGTGGAAATAATTACATGACCATTTTTATGGTGTATTTTATATAGTTGTAGCTCGGCAGTGGGTCGGAACGGTGGTCCTCAACTTCTTACTCTGGGACACGGTTGTGTTTATGTTGGAGTTGTTATCCACGAACTGATGCACGCTGTGGGGTTTTGGCACGAACAAAGTAGAGCAGACAGAGATGAATACGTGACAATATTGTGGAATAACATACAAGAAGGTAAGATACAGAAATGAATACGTGATGACATTGTAAAACAACACCAAAGAAGGTAAGGAACATATATGAATACGTGATGATCTTGTAGAACAATACCCAAGAGGGTAAGATAGCAGAGGTTAATACGTGATGACTTTGTAAAACAACATCAAAGAAGGTAAGGAACAGATATGAATACGTGATGATCTTGTAGAACAACACCCAAGAGGGTAAGATACAGAGGTTAATACGTGATGACTTTGTAAAACAACATCAAAGAAGGTAAGAAACAGATATGAATACGTGATGATCTTGTAAAACAATACCCAAGAGGGTAAAATACAGAGGCTAATACGTGATGAACTTGTAAAACAACACCAAAGAAGGTAAGGAACAGAGATGAATACACGATCACCTTGTGGAACAACACCCAAGAAGGTAAGGAACAGAGATGAATACGTGATCACCTTGTAAAACAATAGCAAAGAAAGTAAAGAACAGAGATGAATACATGACCACATTGTGGAACAACACCCAAGAAGGTAAGATACGGAGGTTAATACGTGATCACCTTGTGGAACAACACCCAAGAATGTAAGAGGTTAATACGTGATCACCTTGTGGAACAACATCCAAGAATGTAAGATGCAGAGGTTAATACGTGATGACCTTGTAAAACAACACCAAAGAATGTAAGGAACAGAGATGAATACGTGATCACCTTGTGGAACAATATCCAAGAAAGTAGGATACAGAGTTGAATACGTGATTATCTTATATTCAAAAACGTAAGATTTTTGGAATGTCTTTACATGTACAATACCTAAAACAATCTCTCTCTCTATCAAAGAAACGAAGACTAAATAAAAAGTTTCCTTATTTTAATTTTTCGTTAAGTATGTTTAGGGGAAACTTTATCTAAATATACATCAACACCACAATCTATTTCTGTTACTTTGAGTAATATGTTTGTTGATAAATTTAACTCTGTCATAAACTGCTAAGCGGGTTGGTTTTCTTTTGTCATTTTAGTCGATACTAACTGCGGAAACCAGTCCATGATGCTACTTATATTAAACATAATTCATGGTGATTACATTAACCTTGACAGTGATTACTTTTAGTTTTTTTGTTTTTTTTTTTAGCTTTAAAGGATTTACCTATTACTGTTCTTGCTAGGCATGGCGTACAACTTTGCCAAGTATACGTTGCAAAAAATTCAACACCTAGGCGAACCTTACGACTATGCGTCTGTAATGCATTACGGTGAATATGCTTTCTCAAAAAGTCGAAGTCAACCAACCATCAAACCTTTAAGACCCGGAGTGCAAATTGGACAAAGAAATGGTTTTAGTAACACAGACATACGGAAAATCAATAAACTTTATAAATGTGGAGTAACAGAAGTAACAACAACAACCAAGATGTTTTCTACAACAGTTGCACCAGGTAAGATATTTTTCTTCGTTTTTTTTTTTTACTTTCAAAGTTTTGATATCATTCAATTATAGATTGATGATTTTCATATATCCAAACGATTCTGTGTTTTAATAAATCTTATGAAGTCCTTGTTCTGTGATGGGCAAATACTTTCAGAGTCCAATGAAATTATATTAATCATTCAAAATTTGTGATAAAAAGTCAGTAAACCAGACCTAAAAGTAACCTATAAGTTGTTGACTATGATGGCTATCCGCTGCGTCCACCGAGGGGAATCGAACCCCTGATTTTAGCAGTGTAAATCCGAAGACTTACCGCTGTCCCACCGTGGGACAATTCTATAAGACTGACTAGAAGTACACGATGACATAATTCATTAGAAAATTAAAACCTGCATTGATTAGAATTAGAATGTACAAAATTATCAGTTGTGTACTCTTGTTGTTAAAGCTATTTTTCACCGTATTTCCAATGTTATCTCAGAAGGATCGGCTATATTAGGTTATTCCTAATCAATTTACCAAGCTACTATATAAAATAAAATAATTTTCATTTTGGAAAAAAATATTACAAGTATGATTATCCAATTAATTTTTAAATATAATAATATTTATGGAAATTGAATATAAAGAAAAATTAGTCATTATTTACAAAACACAAAAACTGTAGTCTTTTTCTTAAATCCACACAGCTCACCAATATACGCAAAGTATTTTCATTAGTGCATCTCCAAAAGCAAAAGTTAAGAAAGGTTTAAAAGAAAACCAAAAAGAGACTTAACCAAACTAGCCGTCACGCCAGATAATTATATTCATTATTTCTATAGTACTTCAACGTTGCTCTTAATTTGCTATTCGTCTTTAAATGTTGAATTTATGGGCTTATATAGCTTATATATAACTTCAGTACAGTTAACAGTGTTAGGTTTATAAATAAAATGATAGCCAAACTTCATCAGGGATAATGGTGTTGTGCTTAGGTATAAAAATAAATTAAAAAATAGAAAACAACTCTATCACAGTTGACTGTGTTAAGTTTAAGTTATTTAAGTACAAGAAAAACAAAGTATTATGATATTTAGCGCTGAATCATCCATATTATTAAAGTATGTTAGCAGATTTTACAGATGTATTGTTAATGAGGTTATGTTAGCAGACTCTACAGATATATATTTAATGAGGTTATTTTAGCAGATTCTACAGATATATTGTTAATGAGATTATGTTAGCAGACTCTACAGATGCATAGTTAATGAGGTTATTTTAGCAGATTTTACAGATGCATTGTTAATGAGATTATGTGAGCAGATTCTACAGATGCATAGTTAATAAAGTTATGTTAGCAGATTCTACAGATGTAAAGTTAATGAGGTTATTTTAGCAGATTCTACAGATGTATTGTTAATGAAATTATGTGAGCAGATTCTACAGATATATATTTAATGAAGTTATATTTGCAGACTCTAGAGATGTATAGTTAATAAAGTTATGTTAGCAGATTCTACAGACACATAATTAATGAGTCGTGTGTTCGATAACACTACCGCTAACTTTTGTATTACTCTTGTCTGGCCGAATATTGGTTTTGGTCGTTACTGTTACAGTACACTTACGGTCACAAAGAGCGGAGCGCATTTTTGAGCCAAAAGGACGCAAACTATGAACTCCCGAATTCACAGTCCTAACGCTCTAACCGCTTGGCAAACTCAACCCAAAGTGTCTTTCAATCTTGAAAATATATTTCTTAACTGAACTAACTGCAATTCTGAAAATCTGCTAACAAAACTTTATTAACTATACATCTCTAGAGTCTGCAAATATAACCTTTCCTCTAACTTATCTCTTTAGAAAAATCATTCAAACTAAACTTAGTATTAACTCTTATTCACAGGTACTACTCTCGATCTGCTCGGATTACATCTCTATTCATAACGAAATAACTTTCTTTCAGAACACCTTATGAAAAAATGAGTATCCTTCATCCTTTCTAGAAAACTTAACACGTAACCTTCTTAGTAAGACAAGAACTCTACCGAATAATATCCAATCATATTCCAAATTCCCTCTAGCTCTTGTTATTCTTTTCCTTGGAAAACAAAGTTTTAATGTTTAAACCCAACTCCACAAGCTACTCAGGTCCTTCTACCACCAGATTAAACTACGTATTGTCTTCAAATCGTCACTTCGTATCAGTAGCTTTTTTAAAACTAAAGACATTTCACCTTCACTCTTACGTTCAAAGGTCGTATATAAATATACATGTGGTAGCTGTAAAGTCACGTACATAGGAAAAACTTCTCGCGCCTTGGAACATATGAGAGTTTCTAACAGAACTGGACTTCAAACTCAACCTAACTCTCCAATATATTCTCACAACGAAACGTCATCGTACCCCATTTCCTTGAAAGGCTTTTCAATTTTAACTTCTGGATGTAATGATCACGAACTGTTGATGAAAGAAAGTCTAGATATTATGAACGAAAACCCAAACATTAATACAAAATCTAAACTCGTTCCCCCTTGCTTTATTCAAATAACTCTCAATCTCTTTTTTTTCAGTTGATTTTTTATTGTATTTCTAACACTATTCATTGTATTTTTACATTAGAAATTGTTCTAAAGATTGTTCAATTTGTCATTTTTATAGATTTGCCGAAGATGGAATATGTGTAATTCCGAAACGTTCATTAAAGATGTTTATAATTGTTGCCGTTGCTCTACTATTCATAATAAACAATTTAATTGCATTAAATGGAATATATCTATGGTATGAAATATTTTAATCACTCTGTTTCTTACGATATCTCTCAGTGGTTGGATGTGCGGACAAAAACCAAAACTGTGAATTTTGGGCGAGACAGGGAGAGTGTCAGAGAAACCCACTTTGGATGATGGAAAACTGCAAGAAGTCGTGTAAACAATGTAGTAAGTGTTAATAATATAAGTGATGGTTGATAAAACAAAATACGCTGCCTAGTTAACTAATGAATGAATATCTGTTGTAAAATTATTATCAATGCTATAAGTGTAACTACTAGTTTGGCCGCCAATTTTGATTTCATTTCTTTAAGTCGCACACTGAATAATTGTTTGGCCGCACCTTTTTTTCACACCTAAGATGTTTTTGATTAGATATCATGACTTTATGGCAATTCACATTAACAAACCACAGCAAGTAAGAAAGTGACACTCGATTGTAACCACATTAGCTTTAGAAGGTTACTTACAGGATCAAGCTAAGCACTTGGTAACTTTTTCATCAGCGATTATGTCTAATACTTTCACGTAGAAGGATATGTAGGAAAAGTCTCAAACTATCTTTTCTTTACAGAGCGTCTTAAGATTGATATCTAATCAAAAACACCTTAGGTGTGAAAAAAGGTGTGTCCAAAAAAGGATTGACTGTGCGACTTAAAGGAATGAAATCAAAACTGACGGCCAAACTGGTAGCTACACTCAATCCTTTTTCACACCTAAGGTGTTTTTGATCAGATACCATGACTTTTGTCAATACACATTAACAAACCACAGCAAGTAAGAAAGTGACACTCGATTGTAACCCACATTAGC